CCCTGATTTCAATTTGTTACATACTATATTTAGTACCTGAAGAAAATACACATTAACAAACAAAACCTTATCTTAATACAAATTTTGATCCAAATCGTTAAAGCCGTTTCCGAGATATTCTATATAGATAAAATATGCATACAAGATTGCTCATTTAATATTAAAAGTTAACATCTCGTTTGTCACTGGACAAAAGAATTGAATATAGTTACGCATGTATACTATTTCTACTAATATAAAAAAACGTGAGTGAGTACTTATATACGCAAGTAAGAAGTTATACTTATATACAACTTCATCATGTCGCTTTTTGGCTGTCGGTGTGCGCGCGCGTCGTAAAAATTTTACGCTTATATTTTTTTCCAAACGTGCCAAAAGAAGTATAACTTCAATAAATACGTCGATTTTTGTTCTTTCACGCTGTGGTCCATGTATAAAAATTATTAATCTTGCATATTAGACAGTAATAAAGATTATTCGAGTACTTACAGAACTCGACCAAGCATTTGTATTACATAAATGTTATTAATTTTAACTGACTTTAAACAGAAGGAGGTACTAAAGGAGAAGGAGTAGGTGTATATTATATATTTCTGTGCGCATGCTCCTAGATATTTTCTCCAATTTAATTTTTTTAATGAATAAAATAACTTTAAAAGTAGTATGTACTTTTTGCGTGCGATTTCCTTTGTCACTTTATTTTTCATTTTATTGGACTTAATAGAATAGCTTGGTGAAATTTAATTTAAAAATAAATCAAACACCTTTACTTTTAGCGTTTTAAATAATTTCAAGTAAAATAAATATAGCTATATAGATTTTCAACATTTTAGCGGAAACGTTGCAAATTTTATCCCGTATATTGTTTAGAAACCTTCGTTTTACTCAGTGCTTTGGGATGGAATGGACGGGACGTGTGGTAGGCTTTAATTACGCTCTTAACGATCGTCCATTACGACTATGACCATAGTAACGAAGGGAGTGTATAGACTAACTTCTCGACTTTATAGTTGACGGTAGGTACTCATTGTTTGTCACAGTGTTTTATATAACGTCGTTTTAATGTAAATAATACTCGTAGTATAATGTGGGTATACTATTTCCTTACGTTTATTTTTTTAAAGTAAAACTTCTTTAGGCATAACTGAATTCAATATATTGGAAAAAAAAAATAGTGTTGGAGAAGTGAGATTCAAATTTATTATTAACTAGCGACTTACGCTCGCTCCGCTCGGGTCGTCAATAGGTTGATTCCCTATACAAACTTTAATCCCCATTTTCACCCCCTTCAAGGATGATTTCCGGAATAAGAAGTATCCTATGTCCTTTCCAGGGTCTCAAACTATCTTTTTGCAAAATTCATCTAAATCGGTTTAGTAGATCCAGAGATTACCCGTGATTAAATTGACGTTGTAGGGGGGGGGGGGCTCCCCCCTACAACGTCACAAAGTTTCAAACTCACAAACTTTACCTCTTTATAATATTGGTATAGATAATAACTGCCTCGGTGATGCAGTGGGTAGCATGTACGGCTGCACAACCGAGGTCCTGGGTTCGAGTCCCAGGTTAGGCCAAGTTTAGTTATTGAGTCTTTCTCTATATTTAGCCTCAGTAACAGCCCGGAGTTGGAAAGTTGGCGGTGTTTAACGCCCGTGCCTCGGAAAGCACGTAAAGCCGTCGGTCCTACGACTTAACTCTCACCGGTCGTGTCGAGCAGTCGCCCACCGGAGTATGAGAGTGACAGGAATAGAGAGTGCATTTATGTCTGCGCGTACACTTGTGCACTATAATATCTCCTGCGCAGTTGGCTAGTCTCAATGAGGAGTCAGGAGAACATTACATTATTATTATTGTAGATAATAAGTATTTGCTTAAATGGGTTAAAAAAGAAAGTGTTATATCACATTATATATATATATATATATATATATATATATATATATATATATGTGTGTTATTTAAATCACGTGCTAAGATTGTTGTATTATGTACAAAAATATATATCGTTTTCATAGATTTTGAAGCTTTCTATTACCGATAGTAATATTAGAATGTTATCTTGTGTATGGCCCATAGTTTTATTATAGTGACCGGGTTACAAAAGTTTACAGTACGCGTGGTTTGCTTGCAAATGTAAACAAATTGGAGATGAAAGTGTACTACACCGTATACTAGTAAATGTTTATAATTTTTTATTGCCTCCAATATTTATATGAGTTTGGTTCATAAATTAAATATACATGTGTAAATGTTTGGACGAATTTACGATATTTTGTAAGTCTATATTTGTTTAGGTAAGAAGATAAATAAATAATAACAATATGTTTAGTTCTTAAATCATATTTTTGCTGTAAAACTTGAATACAAGTTTTTACTGTACTTGTGGTGTAGAATTACAGGGTTGATTCATATTTTGTACTAGCATTGCCCGCGGCTCCGCCCGCGTTCAGATGACCAAAAACCAAATTCTTAGGTTTTACATATTAGTACACTCATGCATTGCAGTTTTTGTATTTTTTCTCAGAAATGAGATTTTCCCGCGGTAAAAAGTATCCTATATGTACCCGGATAACCCGCTATCATCATACCAAATTTCATCAAAATCCTTCCAGTGGTTTTCCGTGGTGCGGTAACAGACTGACAGACAAAAATTCTAAAAACTATAGATTCGGCATAATAATGTTTATTTCAATAAGATTTTCCAAAAAAAAATTTAATGTACAGATTCGGTTTGTTTACAATTTTATTATATGTTTACTCGTAGATATAAGACTTTATTTAAAACTATTGAGAATCTATATATTAGCAATACATTGTTTTCATTTATGTATTTGCAGCCACTTAGTGCACGTTGAAAAAGCGACGAAATAGTGTTTTTTTTCTGCTAACACGATTAACTAATATCATCATTGCTAAGCTCTTATAAGTGCTAGAAAAATTTATATAATATATTTGTCGTCCAAAAATGTAAATAACAACAGCATCCAAAATCTTACAGTGATTTTCGATTAAGCCCTGATGTAGAGACGTACAGATAGAATAACAGACGCTCACCGGGAACTTCCTTTTATGTCTGAATAACAGCTTTGTTCAGTCTCAAAGTCACTGTATACTCTGTTCGTCTTAAGAAACAAGGTACGTGCCTGAATCGTCCTTAACTAATAAACTGAAATTGTTATCTATCGTTGCCAAATATAATTATTCTAGTATAAGTTACTTGTTTTCTATATTTTATATGCTATTATACACATTATTTGCCCAAGGCCAGAATCGAATCTGTTCTCTGTAACATATTATTAGCACGCCACATGCAAAAATAAATTCCTTCCAACATTTATATAAGCTATTAAAATATCAATTTGATATTATAAAGTCACGTTCGTTATTTAAATGAACGCAGTTAATTTTAATTTCTTTGAAAATTACGCACTCAATATTTAATTAAACATTTTTGTAGAGGATTGACCTAATTTTTTGTTGCAGTAGCATTTATTTATTGTTTAATATATTTTCATATGAAATTGATGGAATTTAATCTACAAGAATTAAGATATAGTTTGTTGGTTTTATACTAGTTTAAATGATTTAAATAAAACTATATTTTCGGTTTTTTACTCAGATTTATTTTAGTTTTTGGTTTCCGATGGTTCGTAGGTTTTATTTAAAATCTGACGTTTTATTTAAAACTTGAGACTAACCCTCGCTGCGGTCGAGTTTGTCCTTACTTACGTTTTAATGTATAGTATAGATTTCTCAAAGAAGAGATACTCGTTTCCCCGCAGTAAAAAGTATCCTATACATATTATGTTGACCCGAATAACCACCTATCATCATACCAAATTTCATCAAAATCCCTCCAGTGGTTTTTCTGTGATACGGTCACAGTTACACAGACAAACAGTCAGAAATTATAAAAATTATAGATTCGGCCTCTGTATCGATAATAATGTTTATTTCAATAAGATTTTCCAAAAAACTATTAATGTATAATGTACAGATTCTGTTTAGTTACAATTTTATTATATGTATAGATGTCAAATATTTGCGTAAATCTAAGTAAGTACATCTTTAAAACATTTAAAATTTCATTTTGAAAATTCCATCATAGCAAAATATTGTTGATATGCAAAAATTATTTACTAGTAATGTATATCTGTTCCGAAAGAGATATGACACAGAGCTTAATTATTTTTCACTGCCATGGTGTTCACACGAGGGAAAGTATTTGTATTGTAACATGACGGTTGAGATAATTTTCATAAAATAACGTTAAATAAGCACCAACATAATAGTACATACAGTAATTGTATATAAGAACGTGTCAATATATACTTTAGCAAAACCGAACTAGACTACTGATTAGTAATTACGGTATATTACTCGTATATTGTGAAAAAAATTATGTGTGTGTATATTTGTTACTCTTTCATGCTGAAACTATTGAATTTTAATGAAATTTAGTATAGAAGTAGACTATGATCTGGGTAAACGCATAGACTACGGCTACTAATAAAATTTATCAAAAGGTGGAAACCTACTTTTTAGAGCGTTTTTTGTAGTTTTAGCACAAGCGAAGCCGCGGGTTCTGCTAGTATAATATGTTATAAACACAAAAGGCGCTTCAGAACGAACCCGAGCAAAGCGAGTGTGAGTCTTTAGTAATACATTGATAGTATGGTTGAGCGATCGAAAAACAATCATACCTATAATTTCTTTAAACATAAAGTGAAATTAAGCTTCTAGCATCTTGTAGAACTGCAAAAAGCTTCCTATCAGTGAAAGAGATAACTCAGAAATAGATGCATCATTAGACACTTTATTGCCACTAACACTTGTTTATTAATAAAAAATATAACGGACGCGGTGAACGACGTTCTATATATATCTGACGTGTGCCAACAAAACAACTAACGGAATCGTAGTAGGGACGGCTGCGCGCGCGCACGTCTGGTGAAAAAACACGATGGATGTGTCTGTGCTTATCTTTATAGTGTTGTGAAATGTTCTCTAATTTCAAACTAAGTAAGAAGGAGAAAGATGAGGTGTATTGCTATGGGAGTGTGAGATCTAAGCCGCCAAAACCACGTGCAAAATATCAAAGGCGTGAGTATTTTTATGTAGACGAGGGTTAATGAGGTATAAACTTTGGCACAGACGGGTATGGGATATGCCGGATGGTGCTATTAGCATCAATTTATAATTGAGTATGCAAGACGAGTTAGTGAAGCTCAAATATATGTTTTGATAATACTTATTTCATAATAAGATTTATGATTTTCAGTATATTTTCAGTATAAATAGCACTTCACAAATTATTTAGCAGAGTACGCAAAAAAATCGTAAAAATCGGAGTCGGCAGAGTAAGCCATTTTAATAAATAATATAACGGGATTCCAATACCCATTTTTCTTTACCCGCCCAGAACATATAAATTCCATCTAAACATTTGTTTTATACGATTATATTTATTTCTAATGCAGCCATCGAAGTACTTATGCCATATCTTACATTATCTAATTCATTGCAATAATTGCTTAACAATTAAGACGATCCAGAAGGAAGAGGCGGAAACAAGAAAATATTATGGCTATTAAGGGCTCTAATTCCAAGATCCAATAAACATTTCTCAGCTCTGCCCTCAGATATAAATAGGCAGTATTTGTAAACAGCCATTTTATTACGACACCACGTGCCTGTGACCGACACTAGTGTTTCAGTGTTTAAACACACGTATGCGTTATGTTGACTGAAATGGGTATTTCAATTATATTTCATATATGTAATAATCAGAATAGAATTGGAATTATTTTAATTATTTTGAGTTAGAAAATATTTTTTATATTACTTGATGATATAATATATACGTAGATACATATAATAAAATTCTAAGTCGAATCTGTACATTAAACATTTTTTGGAAAATCTTATTAAAATAGTCATTATTATCGATACAGAGGCCGAATCTATAGTTTTAAGACTTTTTGTCTGTCTGTCTGTCTGGTCTAAAAAAGCATCACGAGAAAACCACTGGACAGATTTTGATGAAATTTCATATAATAATAGCTGGCTATCCGGGTCAACATATTAGATACTTTTTACTGCGGGAAAATATCTCATCTCTGAGAAATCTATACTAACCGTTAAAACGTACCCTAGGAACGAACCCGAGCGGAGCGAGGGTGAGTCGCTAATGTAATATATCAGTGAATTTTGTCTTCCTTTCCTACTGAAAGTTCATTTGATAACAGGGGAAATGCAATATTTAGTATGAGATTCTTTTTGATTAGTAAAATATATAAGTAACTCGTAACCGATTTTCATGATTTTCTTAAAATTAATATATCACACGTTAAGTTGATATAACCATTATTTATTGAAATAATACTTATTTGTTATTTTATTTTTGAAGATTTATACATTGCGAGACGTAGACCTCTTCTCAATGATTTCCAAGCTAAACTATGTACCTTAGCCATCATGTAGTGGATTCTAACGAAGTTCACCTGATCGCCGGTCCACCACTAAGTTTGACTTATGATGTAATATAGTACTTTTAGCTTTCAGTTGAACTTATAATATTACTATTATCTTTTGACCAAATGGTATAAGTGTTTTCATATTAGACACTTTTCTTTCAAAGACCATGAAAAAGATCTGTCATCGTATATCTTTGTTCTTAGACACTATATCAAAAGAGCCGGCAAGTTTCCACATTGACCCATTTTTGGTTGTGTTTTAATCTTGACACTGCATTCATTTGAATACATTCATATTTTACTTCTTCAGCCTGAAAGTGTTATATAAATCTCTGAAATATAAAGACTTCTTTTAGAATAATTTATGTTTAAAATATTTTCTGTACAAGGAAAGGTTAAATTTGAAAGCAGAAGTATTCTAGGGAGCGTTCTGCGTTGATTTTCCCTACATCGTGCATATGTAAACTATGTATAAAATGTAATTATTTTAGAATTCAAAGTACTGGGTTTAGTTAATTTTCAACTGAAAATTTTCATCGTATATTTAAAACAGCTTATCTATATAACACTAATGGACAATATGCATTTTTAAAGTATTCCATGCATAAGCTAACAGCATTCTCGAATGTTGACCTAATAACCCCTCTCAGAGTTCTGGCTTTCTCATCTAAATAAAGAAAGCAATGGATTACATGTCACTTCACCATTGAGGGTCCACTATATATAGATGATCTCGTAACTGACCCTAATTATGGGATGCCACGTAAACAAACAGAGGAAGTCTCAGAAACTTTTTTCAATGTATCGCTTGGTGTGGTTTTACTCAAAAATCGTTTTTACGACAGTATGACGCATTTGGCACGTGTTTAAGATACTCATCACTGTTGCTGAATGATTTTTATTATATAGTTGTTAATTTAGTGGCGAATAAAAAATTTAGTAGATTATTTTCGTCACTATAATGTATCTGATCTTTTTTAACGTACCACTGCTGGGCACGGGCCTCCCTTTCAAACGATGGGGATCAGGCCATAGTCGGATTTCTACTACTAAGACTAAGAGTACTAATTACTCAATAATAAGCACCATTTATTATTATTATTATTATTACCTACAGTCGAGCGGCACGTACCCACGCGACAGGGCTGCCCGCCGGCCAGTAGTTTAATTTCATCTATCTACTTGAGTTTCTTTCTAATTTTATGATTTCGAATATTATATTTTTTATTTAAACCTATTATTAGTAGATTTAATTTAAAAATCTCAAATTTATATGGGTGGTATGTGACCCTTATAAATTTGAGATTTAAAAATATTTGCGTCTCGGGTGAGACGTACGAAAAGTTTATTGTTAAATTTAATAGTATAAAGAATCCGCATTCGGATAAAAAGTTTAATTAAAAATACTCTAATTTTTAATTTAATTAATTAATTATTATTTTTAAAACATACGATGTCTCGGTACTTTTTTGTTTGACATTAGTGAAGTTACGGGAGGAATAAAATTTTTATTTTTGTATCAAAATTATAAAAGTTACATAACATAACCACCTTATACAATTTTCGTATCCAATTATACGATGTGGCAGCCCCGCACGGTTGTCTACCGAGTGTATACCAAACGCGACGCGCGTAGGTATAACTCGATTTTCGACCGTTTGTATGAAGATGGAATACTGTATGTAATATTACCGTGTTAACATATTTCTAAATGAATTGCTTTTAATTTATACATATTTTGAGATTTCAGGGACCGCAGGTTACTTAGAAAATCTATACATTCAAATAAAACTGTTACATACCGTGCATATCAGCCACACGTTCCGCGACTTTATTTAGGTAAATAATGGCGTGTTTTGTTGCTTTTTCTCCTTAGCAGAATTGTATAATATTAAATATTATTTCCCTTGGCGAACTGTGTAAAGTTTTTTCGACATGATTTAAAATAAAGATCACATAAAACAACACAATAAACACGAAATAAAGTTTGACATTTGACAGATGGCTAGATTGGGTAGCCATATAAAAATCATAATATTAGTTCCATTTTATGCCACGCCGGTCTCTTTCCGCACAGACTCTAGTTAGATTACAAGTAATCTACAGTTATAGAGTATTAGTAAGCAACAAAAGAATTCCGACGTCACAAATATAAGTAAACTTCACCACCTTTCACAAAGACGATGATGTAAAGTACCCAAACGAATGACATACGGTTCCAAGGGCCTCAGTCCTTCGACCCGACCTAACATTCCGAGGACGTGCTTGGAAATTAAATAAAGGAAGATCAAAAATTCCTCTCCATTTTTTAAGGTAACTTTTTGCTCTATATATAGCAACATCCTATAACCTTACCTAATAATAAAAGTGTGTATTGATTTCTCGTTGTTTCACAGAGCAATAAAATACGGCCTGTCGTATTTTTTTTCATAGAGATAATTCATGGGATATAGTTATTTTTTCCTATACTTAGGACGAGAAAGATATATATATATATATATATATATATATATATATATATATATATATATATATATATATATATATATATAATGTACAATATGTAGGTATTACTTTATCATAGTAAAAAGCTTTTTATAAAATACTAGCATTGCCCGCGGCTCCGCCCGCGTTCAGATGACCAAAAACTAAATTCTTAGGTGTTACATATTAGTATACTCTTACATTGCAGTTTTTGTATTTTTCCTCAGAAATAAGATATTTTCCCGCGGTAAAAAGTATCCTAGGATCGCGCGCTACATCGCCCGGTTTATATAGCTTGAGCAGGCGGTCGAGCGATGCGGGGCAGAGGGGATGGACTCGCCGTAGGCATCTCAATGCTCGCCAAGCATTAAAAATGTTTCGCTACTAATTACTTCTAACAACGATATCTCAAAAACTATTCATCTGATTGATTTAGTGTAAAGAGCAATTTTAATCTGCATTAAATGACTAAGCTAACTAAAATATTCATTTGGATAAGGATTAATACCGAACTAAAGAAAATAACTTTGAAAATAACGTAATGTTTTTAATTAAAAATGTTAACATAAAAGTGGTTATTGTAAGTCAACCGTAAGAGATAGAGATATGCTATCGCGGACTTTTTTGTAGCATTTTTATAGATTTTGAATTCTCTAGTACATTACTTAACTGTATCTTTGCTAGTTTACGCGGCGTTCGCGTGGAAAGTTCCCATTTGGCGAGATTTTTTGCGACCTCTTCAACATTTGTCGCCGTATTTCAGATAATTTACATAAAAGCATAATAAATTATATACCTAAACCTTCCTCAAGAATTACTCTTTCTATTGTTGAAAACCGTATAAAAATCCGTTCAGTAGTTTTCGAGTTTATCGCGTACAGACAGACAGGAGGACAGACAGGAGGACAGAAAGACGCGGCCGGGGGACTTATTTTTATAATAAGTATAGATTATGATGATAACGTTTTACATACATATTTTGGTCTTAATAAAAAAAAATCTTCTCGTTAAATCTGAGGTTATAATTTCAATTAAATACAGAAAACCTATTCGGATATCAAATAAAAAAACTTTTAGTTTAGTCTATATTTAGTTTAGTTTTAGTCTATATACACAAAAACCTTCAGATTAGCCCAGCCTAGTCTGCCTAGCCCTGCCTGCCCAGCCTAATAGCTTGTGAAATTTTATACTGATCGGAAGTTTGAACGCGGATGAAGCCTGTGTGTACTGGTAGTCTGTTATAAAATAGAAAAAAAAACATTATCTTTTTTAATATTATTGTGAGCTCCCCAAAATTAGTACTTTAATCATAGTTGTTATACGTGAAACTTTTATCAATACAACATTGTTAATATATTCCAAATGTAATATAGCTTATTCAGATTTTAGTGAATCAAACGACGAAATAAATAACTTTATTGAAATAGAGCTATTGTATTGTTTAGACACTTCCATATAGTTAAACTATATACGAATTTAGAGCTTCCCATCAAAATTGATTCGAACAATCTGTATGAAAAATAAAACTGAATATGGAATTGTAAGCATTGTCTTTATAATACTGGGGAGGCTTTAGAGAAAAATATTGGATAGAATAAGGCATGGTAGCCCAATGGTAACGCTCTCGCTTGGGAAACCGAATGAAGCGGGTTCATATCCGGGTCTCCCATCTTCAATAATTTCGTGTTCGAATCATTTCCAA